TTATTTAATATACATCATGTACAACATGCAAGTTTCCTTTACATGTGTACGATGTCTCAATAGATTACATTGTAAGAGTGAAGTAGTTGTTTTAAAATTAGTAACTAGATCTTTACCTTAAAGTAGGACAAAGTACTGCATGAGTGAGCTCCATATTACAAAATACATGTAATATATATTACGTGTTATTAATACACAAAAGAGACATCTACATGTAAATTTATCAGAAATAAAATAAATTTAAGAAACATATTTTTACATTGTCTTTTCAGTTTCTTTGGTGTTTTTATCAATATGCAAGCTCTTGATTACTTAAACTATGCCCTATCTAAATCAAAATATATGCATAAAAATCTTTAAAATCAACATAAAAAGTAGGGATGATCGAAATCTAGGTTATATTTCTTAAAGAAAAATAAATGGCAAATTGTAATTAATAATCAAATCTACATGGAACTCACTAAGAACTGTTCATCACACATCATAAGGGGAGGTAAACTTGAATGTTGTTGCTCTGCTACAACTTCATCATAATTTATAGCACTTATTCTACATGCATGTGTATCTGAATGCATATGGTATACCCAATGATTTGTCCAATAAAACACAAAGTAATCCCTTAAAAAAAGGTTGTAACAAACTACAAATTACCCCCCCCCCCCACCCCCCCCCACAAAGTGAAATAAATAAATAAATATAATGATAAAAATAGTTACCATTTTTTTGTAATAAAAAATAATTTGCAAGTGCCAATGCAGTTTCCTTCATAAACATGTATGTCCTTGGGACTCTTTGGAATGAAAATATAGGAATGGCAATAGTAAATTCAAATATCAAATACAAATCTTTAAGACGACATAAAAAAAAAAACCCAGAGAACCCTGGAAACCCAAATCCTGATTATTCTTGCACATGCATCACCACCACCAGAGTTTTCAACTTTCTTGGAGAATACCTTAAGGATGAGAAGCAGAAAAACAAAAGCACTTTAAGGTTTACTTGTTGTGCACAATAAAAATTTGAATAATCTTTTTTTTCTAAAACAAATACAATCCAATGACCTATTCATATTTCGTTGTTCACCTTGTCCAACTTTTTTTTTCCAATATTAAAATTTTCTCACAAAACATACACATCATATACCAGGTACGTTAGTAAATATAAACTTACATTGGTAAAATGAAAATTTGGCTTTTTTTTTCAAATAAACATGATGGCACAATGCTGAATTAGTATTGATGGGAATTATGTCATTTGAGTAAAAGTATTAAAATACATAAATGATGTAATTAATCAAGTGGAACAATGCTAGCTGTGAAACATGCTAACATTATCACTAAAATAAGTCCAGTCACAGAATTTGTTCCTGAGGTCATACAAAACTCATTGTCATGTGGCAGGTGATTTACAAAAAAAAATGAATGAAGCAAAAAAAGCTGATTGTCTGTTTATAAACATTGCATAATTCAAATACAATGATGTCATGTGTACTGATTGAATTTTGTCATGCTGAGCAGAAAAGTTGTATGAAAAATGGATTGTGATGATCAAAAGAGGGAGGGGACGAATACACTGTTTTATATAGTAACAAAATTTGCCTTTTCATATGACAATTGAGAAAAAGAAAACATACAATATTGACATGTTCTCCATAGTTCTGGTGCATACTCAGTAGTTCTCAAATTAAAGTGTTAGGTCTGACAACATCCACTTAACAAAATTTATAAAAGATTTAGCTCACAAAAACAAAAAAAAAAAAAAAAAAAAACCAAAAAAAAAAAAAAAAAAGAAAAGAAAAGAAAAAGGAATGCCAAAGCACAAGTCATATTCCAAACACTGACACATAGAAGCTTCCTGCAAGCTTCCAATAGCACTCCAATGCTAGTTTGGACTTGGGAACATTCCTGAAAAAAATTGATAAGGTGCAAGCCTTACCTCTAGATTGTAAATAAAAATGTGGTGATTCTTTTTTCTCAGATTAAACTCCCTTACATGTACATTAAATACCTACAGAGCACACACCATGGTGTAACAGGTTAATCATCTTATTAAGTGACACAAATTTAACCCTATGATTGCCTACTGTATATCCAAACTAATTCGGGCTAATTTTCATTTGTTAATGTCTTAGACAGTTCTTGTGTTTACTTGCAAGGTTTGTGGTTTTGTAGAAAATAAGTGATTTATGCACAGTTGAAAGGAATTGTCTCGTAAAAGCTCTTACATTAACACTAGAGAGGTGTAAAATATACAAGAATTTTTGCACTAATAAAAAAATGGTAAATACAATCTGAAAATATGACTAAATCGAACTTGTTCATTTTGATATATAAAATACCATGTCATTTCATTACAGAAAATAAATCTGAAATGAAATAGCATGCTGCCATCAAGAAAAAAAAAATTTAAAAACATGTTTTTTGTTGGTGGTATATCAAACAGAACCACACATTTGTTGAAATTATATGAACGATTAAAAAAAAGCAAACATCCAACCTGAACTGCACTCTGAAAGAGATTAAGATCAAGAGTGATACACGTGTCGGAAAACTGTATGCACTCACTTGAAAGCTACATGTAAGATGATGAGATGTACAGATATTGAAACACCATAGAAAAGAGGTGTAAGTTCTTTTCCAATTTCATTTGATAAAATATAATTTTATCTAATTATTTTTTCATCTAAATGTTCATAAACAAAAGACACTTTTGTTTTACCCCCCAAAAAAAATACCAGTCATGTTTCACAAGCAACTTACTTAAACGACTTTTACAACAAAGCAACTTTTACAACAAAGATTAAAAGTCAATAAATGAGTGCATTTTTTAAATTTACCTTGAAAAAATGAATTGCTGTGATTTAAGATGGGTATGTTCAAATGATGAAATTTCAAAAAAAGAAGCAAGAAAAAAAAGAAATAATGCTCGTGTTAATACTACTTCAATCATTACAAAATATTTTTATCTTCTGTAATAGGTGTTAAAAATAGCAACTTAGTATGAATACATCTCCTCACAACTTCATCAGTTACATAAAGGTCAAAATATAATAGTCCATACACTGATAATCTTATCCTATTCTAATTTATGGCTGATATTTGTTGTTATATCTCTTATGGGTTACTGATTCACTAGAAGTAAAAATTAAGAAAATATGCTAAAAATAACTTGTTTCGTAACTTTTATGGCACACAAGTGTAAATAGAATTTCTAATATGCCAATTTCATGTTAAGTACTCTGAAAACACACATTAGAAATTAATCCTTATCAATACATCATTTTAACACTTATAAGAATTTAACTATGTACTAAAATTTAAAAGCATGAAAATGCATAGATGCAATTCTATTTTAGGCCAAAAAAAAATAATCTTTAGTCTTTCAGGCCAAAAATGTCAAAATTCAATGCAGCAGGCAGTTTCTTTTCTTTTCTTTTTTTTTTTTTTTTTTGAAAGTTATCTCTTTCTGCTTGTCATTCAATCCACAAAATGATGATATCAACTGATTCTTACATTTTGTTCTCTTATATAAATTATAATATATAGTCAACTTAAAATAATGTTTTCCACCCTTTTGTATAAGATATATTAACAAGAAAAACAAGTCTATTTATAAGCATGTGAAAAGGGGAATAACTCAATTTTTTCCAACTATGAAAGATTTTTCAATCACAGATAGCTGCAATAATGTAGCCCTCTCAGATATATTTTATCTGATGTTTTTGAGCCATTTCTTTCAATAATCCCTCTAAAATAGCCTTATTTGAATAAGATGAAATTTTAATTCATGATGAACAACATAGCACTGAACCATGGTAAAATAAAACTGCAAGTTTACCAGTCACTTCAACAGCCATGACAGGTCACACATGATGTACTGAAATTGCCTATGAAATTAAGAAAGGCTTCATTAAGTAAAAATGATTTTGCAATATGCTATCACTAAAACATCGATAAATAAAACATTTAAGTTGGAATTTTTCTTATTTACAATGATAAGTAGGCTTATAATAAGGGATTCCTATATTTAGTTACAAGATCCGCTCCTGAATTTTCATTGGCTGTCCCAAGATAAAATCAATGAAGGTCAGTAATCATGGTGGACAAATTCAAGTTGTGCTATTGACATACTAGTACATGAAAAATGACCAATATATGGACTAATCCTTACAGTTTTTAATCAATTCATGACTTGCATAACTAGATTTTATAACTTTATGTAAGAAATGTTAATAAAATAAACAACTAATGATGAGTTGATCCAAATTATTTGCAGAGGTAAATCATTCTTGCAACTACACCATTACAGAGATTCTACAGAGTTACATGTGTATTGCCCTCAACCCCCCCCCCCCCCCCCCCAAAAAAAAAAAAAAAAGGGAGAGCTACATCACTGCAGCTGAATCACTGAATGTCATGTAGTTTAATATTGAGAAGAAAATAAAAACATACTATTTTCCTGATTATTCATAAAAAAATCATTCAAGTATCAGTCTGAAATAAAAGTTGCCTTAATTTAAAAAAAAGCATCTATTACATTTACACACTATATACGGTAGAACTACATGCTATAAATCCTAAAAATAAAATTGTATATATTTCTTTGTAGCAGCAGATCAGAATTCAAGTAGTCAATAAAAATGAACTTCAGAACAAAATTTTTGGACCAGCGTTGCAACAATACTACTTTTGGTGTAATCACATTCTTTTCCAATGAAAAACAAAACAAAAACAAAAGCACATTCAATAAACACCTCCGATTGCACACAATGAAAAATAAAGATGGCAGGCTTAACTTTTGTGACAATAAAAAAATAATTATCACAGACTTGATGAAAAAGGTTGTTCATAGGTTATACATGTTCATAGGTTATACATGTTCATAGATTATACATGTTCATACATTGATAGTATACAATATCTATAAAGGACATCATTATCCTAAATAAAGATCAATAAGAGTGCATAGAACATTCACACATCATGGATTAAAAATAAATATCCACAAACAAGGAGACAGAGAGTACCAGGCACTCCATTATGACTTTTTCCTCTAGTCTTGGTCTTATGTAGGTCCACTTTATCAAAGGCTGATGACACATTCATCACAATTCCGAGGCATAAGATGTGGGTATATGATATTTGACTACACTTTGGTCTTTTTGCAATTCTCTTCTTTGGTTTGACAATTATTGTTTAAGTCTCCTGTTGTTGTTTGTAAAGATTTCAGATTCAAACCAATCTAAAATTTTAAAGTATTATATTTCAAGTTTGTAGATAAATGTAGACATGCAAGGTCACATTTCAACTTTCATTAAAATTTGGAGATAAAATATGGGTAAAAATCTTATTTTTTTCTTCAAACTTATCCTATCAACTGCTATTTAATCCACACATTTTGACAAAATTTCCAGTCATCTTTACAACTGGACAGCAATGTACACACAAATTTAGGTCTACTTACAATATGTAGGGGGAAAAAAAAACAAAGGAGACTAACCTCCTCCAACATGTGGAGATTGGCTTCCAGAACCTGGTGAAGTTGTCGTATGGTGGCCATGTGTGAACCGGCCTGCAGTTCATAAAAACTGGAGTAAAGATTGTTCCTACAAATTAAGTATTATACAAATACAAACCTCTAAGAACACAAAAAAGTAAAGAAATTGTTTTCAGCTATGTATAACATTTGACTTCCAGCTCAATATAGCATAGACTACAATAACCAAGATTAATAATGAAATAATTAGAATTAAGTTCTTGTTTGTTATTCTTGAATCAGTGGCTGATATCTTAAACAGTTCAATAAATTAATTAGGAAATGGTACCTCCAGTTTTGTTTGGCCACTGGGGTCCAGAATTCTTTCCCATCAATTCTTGCTTGAAGAACCAAAATCTTGTATGTAAGGGCAACAGCAGAAAGCATTAAAAACAAAATCCTACAATGTACAGATTTCAATATTTCATGCACAATACCATTATTTTTTTCTACAAGTCAAATTCCCAAATTTCAATAATTCATCCTCAGTTTAAGTAAACAATATTGAATATATTTAAAATAAATGAAGACCAAGTTTACATTCTAAACTTGAATGTCATTAAATTCTTTTTGTAAAAAATCTTTCATGACTTACATAACAGAACAAACAGCTAACAACAAATTGGTTCTGGGTATCCTGTAAACAAACAAATATCTCCTGATGACATAGTGTGGCATTCAGCAAAGAAAGATTTCTATAAATCTAAAATCTATATTTATTACAGGTATGACATAATCAATAATTATGAAAAATATATATGTGTATCAGTACAACTAAACTGAGGTTCCTATTTTTAAATTTGAAAAGTATTCTCCAGGGACTTTTCTGACAAACTACACCACATCCAAATCAAGTAAGGAACTAACACCACAAGGAAGCTTCTCATTTGAACAACTAATGGTGTAATAAGAGCCTCTGGAATTTTTTTTTTATGTGATTGCATGGCAACCATGCAACTATATAATGATTTTACTTTTTTGTAATAGAAGGATCACACTTTATCTACTGACCCCCAATCCCAGGAAAGCTTTGTATCAAACAAACACATGGAAGAAAAAGCATTCAGTCAGAACCTTTGTACTGACTTTGTACCTTTGTACGCAGGAAGTTCATAGTGCAGAATCAAAATACTCAGGAATATTTGTGGAAAACAGATGGACATGTTTATAACCTCCCCCAATTCTTTTTCCCCATTTTTAAAGGTCAAGGCATTCTGGTCTTTTAATAAAAAGAAATGTACTCTTACTTTTGAAACTTTAAACTTAATTCTGAAAAAGCAGCCATCATTTTATGCACTTCAAAACCTGCAAAACAAAAGTGTAAGAAAGGAAGGTCAATCAGTGGTTATAATGATGAATAAAAAGAAGCAGGTTCAATAAGCATCGATTTTGATCTCAAGATTTCAAGATGATTGCAGAAATCTAATTATTTAATGTTAAGATGTTAAATATACGTAGAATGGAAAACAAATTACCTTTCAAAATAATATTGAAGGACAAAAATGTTCTAAAATTGTCTAATTTACATGTTTTTTTTTTTTTATTTTTGTTCAATCAACAGGGGATATTGAGTTATTTTGTGATACAATACACTTTGATGGTTTTAGTACATGATATAAACTGATTTCTCATAAAAGTAAATTTCAACAGGATTTATATATTAATTTCAGTACTGTATAATGTGTTTCGACCGAAAAGGATGCATACATTGATCTTTGACTACCATGAATATATAAAAAAATTTTAAAATGATTAATTGCCAATGAATGCTACTTACATTCAAAAATATATGGAATGTTAAAAGCACGAATCACTGGTCCCTTGCCTGGATCTTTTCGGACTGAGGTTGGGGATTTGCCATTTTCAAGAAACTTACTACTGTCATGTTTATCACTGTCTAATTTATCACAAAGATTGCACATGCCCACATCAGAAGAGTCTGACGTGACTACATTGTTATTTTGATTAGAGCTTGAATTGGTGTGAACAGTCTGATTATCACAGTTAACACATCCCTGGGGGAATTCCTCTATAGAGCAGGCTTCCTCCTCCACTGCTCCCTCTTCCTGGGCCTCACACTCTGATTGACCAATGGAGAATACAGGAGTCGAGACCTACAATCATTTCAGGATTTTGTAATGTATTATTTCCATACTTTAAATAAGTAGTTTGTTAATAAATTACTGTGTAAAATTAAATTCCTGACACATATTCCTTTATTAGAAACTATTTTGCTTGATTATAACCCTGATTTATGTTTCTTCTAACAATTTTTTATAAGGATGTCTTGAATTAAGTACACTGAATTTTCAATTACCTGGTAACAAAAATAGACTACAAATGCAAGTTAATTAAGATCAGATAATGAAAATAATTAAATCATTAGCCTTGCATTTAATTGATCTTTGATCTACTTACAGATGAATTAAGTACTGCAGTTTCTTTTAGAAAATCAAATGTATGATCATTCTGGAAAAAATAAATACATCTAAAGCAAGAATTTTTTGAAACAAGCAATCAGAGATTACAGTGCTCTTGATCCTCAACCATTAGAATTTAGATGTGAGGCCTCACCAAGTGTTTCATACACCCCTGGAAAATACAGTATTTGATGTAAGAGTACAGTCTAAACATCCCTTGATTCACTGTCAATGCAGGTTTGGTTTAGGTATAGCTTATAGTAACTTGTGAACATACCTGCTCCAAAAATGGGCATGGATTTGCTCCAAAATCTTTAACTTGCTCACTAATACATTTAATACAGGTTAGATAACCATCCAAACCAAGATTGATCCAGCCATCCAAACCAAGCTTGATAGTAAGCATCCATTGCTACATAATCTATGCAAGGTAGGACTTACAGATACTTAGGCTTGGACTATTCCACACATTTAGTTATAGCCACACATCAGAAAATAAAGGTCTGATGTGACATCCAAAGCATACCTAGCAAAAAGCATCTATTGATGCATCAGCTCTGCAAGTTTGATTCAAATAGGGCTCAGTTATTTAGGAAAACAAAACAGGGATGCAACTGCTAACAACACTGGGGATATAGCATAATGCAGTAACAAAAAAGAACAGAAAACTAAAGAAGAAAGAACTATTCCACATTTAAAACATGAAAAGAATGTTCTGCTACGAACTACGAGAAATCATCCATTACTGAGATTTCTTTTTAAGTCTTAAAACACAAACTCATTTACAACAACAAAGCACAAATTATTAAGATGGGCAATTAATTACTTTTTTGTAAGTTAATACTACATGTTTAATAATATAATTTCATACTACATGTACTAGTATGTTCATTGCAAAATCACAAATTTTTAAATTACCTGAATTCTCTTGATGGATTGGTTTTTTTTCCATACTGTGTTTATAAACTTGTATGCATTGTCTCTCATGAGAAAAGACCCAAATGTATACTACAAGTAGAAAAGATACAATATCATAGAACTACTTCAGTGTTCTACATTTTTTTTAAATCAAATGTTTTGTCTTGATTACTAAAATATTCTACTAAGAATGTCTCAAAACAACTTCATCAATTTTATTAACAGCAGATTCCTTTTATGTGAAATTCACACCCATAAACAATGTAGACCAGTATGCATATTTAATCAAAGCTAATCAATCTAATCAACATTCTTGTATTCAGTATTCACCTTATACCCTACACTCATTAACTCCCTCCATTTCTTTTGTCAAACTCTCTTTTATTTTATACAACATACCTTTTCCTCGGCAGTCTGAACACCAATAGCATTTGGAAACACTAATGCTGTTTTCTCCCTTGTAATGCTGATCACTTTCTCCAGTGGAATCTGAAGCTGAAAAAAACAGAAAAAATATTACATTGCAGTCTTTAAACTGTTTGCTCTCACTATGCACTGCTTTCCGTTATTGATTTAATGACAAATTTGGTACAGCTACATTAGGAAATCTTAGACAAGAATGTTCCCTCATTCAATAGAGTAAAGAGACCTAGTCCTATAAAGATAGAGGATTAGCCTTCAGCCTCTCATTGACACCTACAGGTGTCAGTATAAAGAGAAACAGGAGAATCCCTACTCCCACACATACCGAGATTTCATCAAAATAAACTCAAAAATAGGCAGCCACAGCTGTAATTCACTTTTACAGTCCGAAAAGTTTATCACAGACATATTATTGTCTTTACATCAACCCTTCACTTTCCTTAAAAACAATCGAAGCCAAGTCTGTATTTATTGCTGAAGTTAACTTCTAATTACAATTAATATTGAAAGTTATCAATCAAACCTGTCAAAAATAGGAATATATCATCATTGTGTTGCAATCACATGAAATGTTAATAATGTGCAATATATTTTGTTTTATATTCGTAGATATGTATCCTTATAATGTTTGAAACAGATAAAGTCAATCATTTCTAGTTCATTACATGCTGCTGGTGATATTGAAAAAAGAAATCCCAGATGACAAGCCATTAGTAATGGGAAAACATGACCTCTGATATATAGCATGTTGTACTGTGAAGCATTGAAAATGCTATAAGAATACCGATAGGAAAGAATGATTGTCCTATAAAGGAGTCAATTTTAGCACATCAGATAGAAGCATGTCCCTGTAAATTATTTATCAACTCTGAAATTGGTAATAAAATCATCTTGTTATTATTTTCAGCACTGAATTCATGAAGGACAATAATCATAATACATCATCATCAACGGTGTAATTCATTCCAGGGTGCTGCCTGGTTGGTCATACTATGTATATTGAATTACATTACACCTTTGAAAATCTTTTTTTACTTGTGAACATAGCAGGTAAATTGTTTGCATGATAATAATGAGCAGATAACACCCCCCCCCCCAAAAAAAAAAATTGATGCCTTCTGATATCAGGAATCATGCCCTGGGTGGGGCTAAGTACATGCCCTACAGCAGAATAGTACTTAGCAATGGTCAACACTGGTAGAAGAAGGGTGATATTCCAAAAAAAATATTGACTGCATGGAATCTATGCACATGCACTTCATCTTTATTTGTATAATTTAAAAACATTCAGTATAATACAGTAAAACTTGTCTAATCCGTCGACCAGCGGTTCCAAAATTTTTGACCGGATTAGACAACATCCGGATTGGAGAAAATTAAACCGTTATAGCAAGTTAAAAATAACATAGATATAAACAAAGAGTGGTAAATAAATACTTGATCAAATGTGTCATTTTTTACGTTTCACTTGCAAAAATCGTCGTTTGTTTTGAACTCTGTTTGTTCTTCAGAATTTTCATTTCTGTTTAAGTTTTTTATTCAGTAACGAAATATAATATCTCTTGCTCATTTATTAAATTTGAAAATCTTTAAATGTTTTAAACACACTCCGAAACCTCATCTTACTGTAAATATTATTTTGTTAGGGACAGATTCCTACTTAATTTCTTTCTTTTAAAATTAATATGTTTGAATATTTAGACACTGTTAATTTCAAATGTTATAATGAATATTGGACCAAAATCTTCTGTCATTATGGTCGTTGTAAATTAGCGACACAAAGGGAAGTAATGCACGTTTTGCACGCAAAACGAAAGTAGAAAGGAGGTCATGAATAAGTCTCCAAGTTTTTCTACAGACATGCTACACGCAACCATCACTATCACTTGTTCTTTTGCAAGTTTCCTCGACTTACTTGAGCCATAAATGATGTTTTTCATCACGTTTGTTAAAATCTAAACTGTCGATACAGGACAGATCATTAACGGGACAGCAAATTATTGAATAATTACCCCACGCGAGACTTCTCTAATGACTAGCGGGGCGGGCACAGGTAAAAATAAGTGGCCGGATTAGAGGAGCTAATTTGTACTAATTATGAGCAGTTAGTTCTTTAAATAGCGGCCGGTTTACAGAATAGGCAAGATCCGGATTGCACAACATTTATTAAACATAAATTATAAAGAAATACAAGGGACTAAAATATTACGCCGGACTGAACAACATGCCGGAATGCACAACATCCGGATTCAACAAGTTTTACTGTATATTAAATAAATACTGCAATATTGAAAATTTTCACCCTAAGAAACCATTGTCAACTGAGGCATTTCTTGTTGAAGATGTTCATCAATACTAATAAATATAGTGTAAACACCTCAATAAAAAATTGTTATCTAGTACTAACTGTTATGATGGTTAGAATTCAAACTATAATTGCTATTTATCCAATACCATGGCTTATGTCAGTGACCATTCTATAAGGAATACAAAACAGATTCTTCTATGTAAAATTATTATGCTTCCTATAAGTCTCTCATTATATATTTGATATCTCACTACTTTTGAAGTACATTGTACTCACAGCACTTATAAAACCTAATGGCACTATCTCACAATAGTTAGTGTGTATTTCTTGGTTGTAACTACTGCATGTGACTTAAATGTTCTTGGTTGTAACTACTGCATGTGACTTAAATGTTCTTGGTTGTAACTACTGCATGTGAATTTAGTGTTCAAAACACTTTATATACAGACTAACAAAACTTTGTAAATATTGACATGAAGAAATTAATTGGTAATGAAAATGACCAGAGAGAGTGCATGGTGTTGCCTTTTACTGTGCAAACATTTTAATTTGATGGGGCTAATTTTTGTGGTGTGAATATGTAGTGAATGTCTCCTTATGACAGACATCATCTATATTTCAATATTCATTAAGGCTGTAGATTTGTATATAAAAGTTACCACTGAAATCCACAAAAAGTGAATCCCATTAAATATAAGGATTTCAAAGTATGTGAAAACATTAGGGCAGCTAGGGCTTTGTCAGGGCTGGGTTCTGTGCGATGAAACCCTGACTACTATTTCAGCATAGTACAAACAAACCACCACATTATTATACAAGAGGCCCATGGGCCACAACGCTCACCTGAATAACTCTGGCCCTGCTGTTCTTCACCAGACAATCTTTTTTTAATACCTACTGTGGCCCCGCCTACCCATGGGTGTCATGAATTTAACAATTTAAAATCTACACTACCCTAGGATGTTTCCATATAAGTTTCAGCTTTACTGGCCAAGTGGTTCTTGAGGAAAAAATATTTAAAGATTTTTCCTATATATTTCAATGTAAAACTTGGATTCCCTATTGTGGCCCCGCCCTACCCCCAGGGGTCAAGATTTGAATAATTTAGAATTTATGCTGCCCCAGGATGCTTCTACAAAAGTCTCAACTTTTCTGACCAAGTGGTTCTTGAGAAGAAGATTTTTTTTCAATATATTTCAATATAAAACTTGGATTCCCTATTGTGGCCGCGCCTTGCCCCCGGGGGTCATGATTTTAACAATTTAGAATCTACACTACCCTAGGATGCTTCCACATTAAGTTTCAGCTTTTCTGGCCCAATGGTTCTTGAGAAGGAGATTTTTAAAGATTTTTTCTATATATTTCAATGTAAAACTTGGATTCCCTATTGTGGCCCCGCCCTGCCCCTGGGGGTCATGATTTGAATAATTTAGAATCTACACTACCCAAGGATGCTTCCAAATAAGTTTCAGCTTTTCTGGCCCAGGGGTTCTTGAGAAGAAGATTTTTTCTATGTATTTCAATGTAAAACTTGGATTCCCTATTGTGGCCCCGCCCTTCCCCTGGGGGTCATGATTTGAACAACTTAGAATCTACACTACCCAAGGATGCTTCCACATAAGTTTCAGCTTTTCTGGCCCTGGTTCTTGAGAAGAAGATTTTTAAAGATTTTTTCTATGTATTTCAATGTAAAATTGGATTCCCTATTGTGGCCCCGCCCTGCCCCCGGGGGTCATGATTTGAACAATTTTGAATCTACACTACCCAAGGATGCTTTCACCTAAGTTTCAGCTTTTCTGACCCATTGGTTCTTAAGAAGAAGATTTTTTAATGACCCCACCCTGTTTTTGTCTTTTCTTGATTATCTCCCCTTGTAAGGGGATTGGCCCTTTATTTTAACAATTTAAACTCCCCTTCACTCAAGGATGCTTTGTACTAAATTTGGTTAAAATTAGCCCAGTGGTTCTTGAGAAGAAGTTGAAAATGTGAAAAGTTTACAGATGGACGGACGGACGACGGACAACAGGTGATCAGAAAAGCTCACTTGAGCTTTCAGCTCAGGTGAGCTAATAAATGTAACATACAAACATCATATTAAATTTCTCTTAACATGACAATAATCAATGATTGTTTTCCTTTGGATTCCTAGATACATGTATATGGAAATATAAACCAGTTTTGTCTATATTACTTTTTCTAGGTGCCTCAGGTTTGGTTTATATTAAAAACATATTACAAGTAAATCTACTATGGTCAATGCAGAGATCAAAGAGATAATGTGGCCTGCATTATTCTCCAATAAATCACATTCATCATCAAATTATCAATTAATTCAAATTCTCTAATTTTGACTATGTTCACTAGGAAAAGGATAAAAGTTTCTTTCGATTATAACACATATCAGTGGGAAAAAATTTATTTTGGGTTCAGATTACATTGCACTTTTTCTAATGCCGGAGATACAAATGAACGAGGAGTAGCATTCGGTTGTGATGTCATAAGACACTTTTGATGATGTCCAAATCTAGATTCTGCATTTCTCTACACAGAAATTTGAATATTTGCCAGAATAGAAATAATTTCCTCATCTTTGGAACTGTTGAAGAATATACCCCTCAGTTTTGAGATTTTGTTTGCAAATAAAATTCTCACCCTTCAGACTCACACCCTTCAGACTCAGTTTTAATTTGCCAACAAGATCTTTCGACTATCGGGGTATATTCTCCAACAAATCCTGCAAACGGAATTATTTCTTAAATACGATGAAAGTAGTAAGGGAATACTAGCAAAGACACTAATTTTTCAAAGTGTACATACATAATTGCTTCAATAATAGTTCCTTTTCAACAAAGCTTCTAACTATCTTACCCTTCGCCCACGGGCCCGTATCTTGGAGTAAAAGCAAATCCAGTTCTGTGATATGTATATGCTTCCATGTAACAGAATATCTCCAATATAGGCACATGAATAATCTGTAATTGAAAACCCACACACCATGATTCTTAACATTGTTCACAGCATCAAATAGCAACACTGCATTTACGTTATACACATAATAATAATAACACAAACATTTTTTTCCCTAACTTTCAATGTTTACTATATACCAGACATGAAACCATATTACTAATACAATTCTGTAACATGTTACCATTGAGTGGGTATTCCTCTTCAGGCACAGCTTTGAATAATTTGTGAAATTTATTGTATTTTGATTTACTTCGCAAAGGAGAAGGGTCCTGTTGAAGAAAAACAATATGAATAGTGAAATAAGAAAAAAAAATTTACAAAATAAACTACAGGGACTTCTACCAAGCATTTATGAAATATTTCATGCATCAACAAGATGTGTTTGTGAAACACTATGCACCCGGCGGCAACAAAGTTCGAAAAAGCTATTTTTAGCATATAGGTCACAGTCAAGGCACAAGGTCATTGACCTTGGTGTCATTTGAAAGAACTTAATTAGTGGAGTATGCATACCAACTATGAAGTCTCTATCTCTCATGGTTCAAAAGTTATGGTGAAGGTTAAAGTTGACAACAGACAGACAAACAGACAGACAGGACAAAAACAATATGCGCCTCCGATCTATCGATCCAGGCGCATAAAAAGTGATTCTTGACAAACTAGAAAGAATGAATTCTCCGCCGAATGGTACATTTGTATTGCAACATGAAAAGAAACTAAAGGTATTGTGAGCACTGAGCTCACAAAAGAATATACCCCACTCCCTCGTATATATAATGGTAAAGTACAAGTTTTGCTAAGGGAAACCCCAAATACCTGTCCAATCAAAACGTATTATAGGTGGTGTACAATTGCAAAATGTAATAAAGATTCTGTTAAAGTCAATTAAATTTTATTCAGTGGTATAGGAGGAGTTGAAGGATAAGAGATGGGTACCCCCAATATTATTGAAAGAATGGCAGTTCCATGTTCTGCTATGGGAAACTCTAAATATATGTCATGGAAATGCAAAATATGAGGTGCACGATGGCACTATGTAATAAAGACTCTGTGAAATTTAATTTTATTTCATGGTATAGGTGGAGTTGCAGGTAAGGGATTGCTACCCCCAAGCATAACAGGCATATGCATGGAAGTACGGATGGACACCCTAATCACTATATACCCCACCCCCTTTTCAAGTGGGTGTATAATAATATAATTATGTAGTACCTTTTTTTCTTTGGTTTGAGCTTATAGTACAGCTCTATTTTCATATTTTTTTAAAATACAGAACTGATATTTTAAATTCAGTTGTTGCCTTTAGAAGCAATATGTAATTATGTAGTGTTGACTAATCCTATCTATCTATTTTAAACAGTTAAATTATATCTCATTGTTTCTATATTTAGCAAATTTATAAATATCTCTATCAAGAAGGTATGGTTGAGAGGAACTCACAAAGATTTATCTGTGTATGAAGTTGATTGGAGTTGCATAAAATTCAATAAGATGAAGTAAGTCAAAACGAGAACAAGAGGCCCATGGGCCACAATACTCACCTGAGTGACTTTGGCTTCGCTGTGTTTCATCTGATTATCCCCCTTGTAGTACCTACTGTGGCATCGACTTACCCCCATGGGTCATGATTTGAATAATTTAGAAACTAGACTACCCAAGGATGCTTCTACATAAGTTTCAGCTTTTCTAGCCCTGTGGTTCTTGAGAAGAAGATTTTTAAAGATTATTACTATATGTTTCAATGTAAAACTTGGATTCCATATTGTGGCCCCGCCCTACCCCCAGGGGTCATGATTTGTAAAAATTAGAATCTACACTACCCCCAGGATGCTTCCATATAAGTTTCAGCTTTTCGGTCCCAGTTATTCTTGAGAAGAAGATTTTTAAAGATTTTTTCTACATATTTCAATGTAAAATTTGGATTCCCTATTGTGGCCCCGCTCTAACCCCTGGGGTCATGATTTGAACAATATAGAATCTACACTACCCCAGGATGCTTCCACATAAGTTTCAGCTTTTCTGGCCCAGTGGTTCTTGAGGAGAAGATTTTTAAAGATTGTTCGTATATATTTCAATGTAAAACTTGGATTCCCTATTGTGGCCCCGCCCTACCCCCAGGGATTATGATTTGAATAATTTAGAAACTACACTACCCCAGGATGCCTCCACATAAGTTTCAGCTTTTCTGGCCAAGTGGTTCTTGAGAAGAAGATTTTTTAATGACCCCACCCTATTTTTGTATTTTCTTGATTATCTCCCCTTGAAAGGGGACTTGGTCCTTCATTTTAACAATTTAAACGCCCCCCCCCTTTACCCAAGGATGCTTTGTACCAAGTTTGGTTAAAATTGGCCCAATAGTTCTTCAGAAGAAGTTGAAAATTTGAAAAGTTTACAGACGGAGGGACAGACAGACGGACGACAGACAACAGGTGATCAGAAAAGCTCACTTGAGCTTTCAGCTCAGGTGAGCTAAAAAGTAAAGTTCATGGTCATAGGGAATATCATAGTAGAAAATAAAGACAATCAGTGGATGTTTGATGGCTACCTTCACAGCTACTTTCTTTGAAAGTTCGTTTGTTTGCTGTTTAACATCCCTTCGAGAATTTTTCACTCATATTGATATATGCCAACACTTACCAGTGGGGGGCTGCAAATTTAGATCTGTACTTGGCACTTACACCTTTGAGCAGTGGAGGGATCTTTTTTGTGCCAGCACCTACTGCGATCGGGACCTCAGTTTATATAGTCTCATCTGAAGGACAGACTCCAAGTCACACAGTGGATTCAAACCTGTGATGTAAGGATCAACTCCTTACTCTGCGACTCTAAAGCAAACCCTCTAACCACTCTCTTTGAAAGTGAAATCAATGCAAGATGAGGAACAGTGAGGTCTGTTATAAGCAAGGTTACAGAGAATTATAACACAACTGCTCTCACCAATATGTATCTTTGTATTAAGTCTGATAAAAATATCATGAACAGTTTCTTTTAAAAATTGACTAAAAAGCACAATGTGAAGAACAGAGGGAAGGACAGGATGGAAGGATGAAAGAGCTACAGACAGACATGACAAACACAATATTCCCCAGGCATATTCATGACTGGTGCTATTCTCTTTAGAGAAGTGGACAGGCTCTCGCCCATATCCTGGATGTAGGCAAAAGCATGTCCACTTCTCTAAAGAGAAGAGACTGGTGCTTAATAAAAAAGAGTACAATGCAATACTTGTTGAACAAACTTTGTTATCAATATATACAAGTACATGTATTCACTTTTTTTTCTCCCATATGATTAAGAAGATATTGGTGACAAAAAATGTGAAAAGTTTACAGACGGACAATGGACAACAGGTGATCAGAAAAGCTCACTTGAGCTTTCAGCTCAGGTGGGCTAAAAACAGTATCTCTTCATACCTACCTTGCTCTCCGATTCCTTTGTATTCATTACCTAGTTTCTATCAGCCTGAAACAGACATTAAAAACAGTTTATAAAAGTATGTAGCGTAAGAACCTAAAATAATGCTTACAAATTAAACCTCTAAGTTTTCATCATCTTACATTTATACATATATATCTACTGCCTCTGATGGCATTCCATTTATCAATCATTTCTGATATATATGTCCTACCGGTTCTTATAGAAGGCATTCACATTTGTAGAATGGTCAACTAAATCAGAAAAAAAATATTTTCATTTCCTGTACTTTGATCTCTTTTCCCTTGAATATAAATAATTGTCTAGTCAATTAAATATATATGCTCTATGTTTTTATTTGACAGTCAAGCTTATTTATAGAGTAAATAACAGAATTGATTTGGAAACCTTTCAAAGACCTAAAATCTATACATGTTCTTGTAATAATCCAAGTGCCACCAAGCTTCAAAGTACATGTAATAACATTCATTTAATTGATTTTATAAACTTAATATATTATTACATGGAAAGCCTATTGCAGCTCATCTAAAATCAGAACACAACATACCCACTGAGTAACAGAATATTTAGCATGAAAAACTGCATTTCCCAAATATATATATATATATATATATATATATATATATATATATTGGTACATTATTAAATCTAAATTACACATTTCCTGCATCAACATCAATCTTCAATTCTAATAACAAAACTAATTTAGAGCAATTTTGTTCTAACACTTCCTTTCACATGCAAATTTGCAAGTTTAATAACACTTCCTTTTATCAGGACTTATGTTTAAAAGATAAATTACTCCTCTTTTTTCAGAATAACTTCTGTGTAGAAAACTCTTTAAAAATATCTGCTCAAGAATGTTTATGACTTACAGTAAAATCATTAAGATCATATTTGTTTCTAGATTCTAGTTAATCAAGAACTTAGGCATACTTTAAAACGGCCAATAAATTAATTACCTGCTTTGTTCAATTACATTTCACATCACTGCACAATGATTAACAGTCCAGTATACATGTAATAATATTACACAAAACTGCACAATTGACCTTACATGCACATAATTCCAGCAAAGTCAATTTAAATAACCTAAAAGTATTCAAGAGCACTAGTCGTAAAAAAAATCCTTCAAAAAAAAAAAAAAAAAAAAAAAAAAAAAAAAAAAAAAAAAAAAAACTCACAGCAGACTAAACACCCAATACTTGTTAGTGAATTTTATTTACACAAGTGTTTACGGCTCTTGATTCAACCTCTCACCTCACTTTTCTTTCTTAAAAAGCCTCAGCAGTAACCCAATATATTTTTATTTCCTTCCGATTTCTTTTTTTTTTTTTTTTTTAATAATCTTTCATTGATACATGATTTGTAGCTTATTTCACAGTATTTCTTCCTTACCCATCTTCCCTGTTATAATTATTTCCTGTGCACATGAAACTTGATCCTGTCATTCTATTCAGAATGGAGCCATGTTAGTTATAATAGTGTCTATTCATGATGGAAATATTTTGCTTCCTTAATTCAATGAAACACTCTAAGACACACTGTGCACTACAGTATATATTCCACCTTAAAGTATTGGAGGCTTCTATCAAAGACATTACAGTAGTATTAAACAGAAATTGGTGCATTTTATAGTCAGTATACATCACACTGGGAATGTTAACACCATTGGAAGATGATCAGACTGCCAAAATGCAGAGGGCTGGTTCATCATTTATTTAGTAAATGACTGCAGCATCTGATCTGATTATATATATATACTGACAACATCATCCAAGCTTACTTTTTTTTACAATGTAAAAAAAATCAATAGACCAATGTGGATTGACTGTTGTACAATGCCAGATATCAATTTTGTTTACAACTCCTTTCATGGAAGCAATACTGTAAAAGTGCTAGCATATATGGGTATATATAGAACATTGTGGGACACATGAAGTTACATGTATAATGCATTAATGGTGGCCCGCCCCATATCTAAAAGAAATATTCGTCTTAAAGAAATATTGGCCTTGAGGTTACAATTCTGTATCAAGTTTTTGTTCAATATTAGCTACCTTCTTGTATTTTTGTAGGTAGCTATGATGCATTTTGATTTAAGACACACAACACATGAAATGTTTATCTATAATGTACATGTTATTTAAATACAGTCTGCACAGTTGTGTAAAGTAGAATATTTTTAAAACAGATCAATTACAATAAAGCAGGATTTGGTTCATGAACATTATATTAAAACTTTTTTCTCTCAAAAATCAGAAAAACCAGACTGCATGAAACTTCTATCAAATTTCCTTTAAATCCTTTTAAAATTTGAGGGAAAACCCCTTATTAAATTTTTAAATTTAGGTTGAAAGGTCACTCTGATTATTGCTACACATTGAAATCCACTATAATAAAAAGCGTAACATCTGATAATTGTTTTCAGTTCACTTTAGATAAACATTATGTAATTATACTATTATAGTACAGCTATTGAATCAAATCAAATGTCATTTTAAAAAAGAAGAAGAGGGCAGATGGCTGTTACAGGTATCCTAGTTTTCTCAAGTTATGAACAATTTAGACCTACCTGGGAATGGAACTCTGGACTCAATATGCCAAACTTGTATGTAGTTTATCTCCCTAGGTGTGTGGGAGTAACGGAGATGAATAAAGATATACATGTAATGCATTTTACATATATATATACATGTATGATCTACTTAGCCCCATCCTTGGGACAAAAATTTATGAAGGAATAGGCTACATTAAAATTTTATTTAATGGATCTTTAAGACATCCCTCTAAAAATATGATTTCAGCAATATAAGACTGATATCTTTCAATTATTTTGTAGGAAATTTTTTGTGTTTTTTTTTTCAGTATAATGTAGAAATTGATTTATTCAAAAATAACATGATTTAGAGTTTAAAATGAGCTATTAATAAATGCATAATATTAATGTCTAAGTAATATGTATGCTGCAGCCTTGTATATGAGCATAAAGTTGAATAAAACACAACTCGGCTGCTGGGTTCCTACTTTTTTATGTTTATTCTATTCGTATGGAAGTTAAAACAATATACATGTATAAAGAAAAGGGTGATCTGAACTATAATGTTAACAGGTATTTAATAAACATCTTCTCACCTTGCTCGCACCACCCCTAAAGCAGATGCCACTGATTTAAGGACCTCACGGATTAAGGACCTCCACAATATATATTCAGAAAATTAAAAAAAAGGCCCATGGGCCACAACGCTCACCTGAGTAACTTTGGTCCTGCTGTTCTTCAGATTTTCCCCCTTGTAATACTTATTGTGGCCTCACCCTACCTCATAATTTGAACAATTCAAAATCTACACTACCTCGGAAAGCTTTCAAATAAATGTTGCCATTCAGGGGTTTTCTCCCTTATGCAACTTGTGGGTCTCCCAATTCTGTATATTGGACAAAAGAACTCTTAGTCAGGATTAAAATGTATAAAAATTTATTATTGCTTGTTGTATTTAATTTCAACAATCTCTCTGAATGATTATCCCTATTTCTTGCTCCCACAGAAATATTATTTCTCTCCCAATGGGAATAAAATATTCTCAAATGGGAGAATTAAGTTCTAGGGAATTATAAATAAAGGATGAGTGCACTTAAGCTACTGAGAGTTGGGTCCCGGTGTTTTGCGCAAAATAAAATTCCGAAGTTCATAAACTTTATGTTTTATAGGTATTAAACAATGTAATTTAAGAGCAGGTTTTGGTATATTATATTACATGAAAGTATTAAGTAATGCCAAGCAACATTAGCTTTTGAGACGGGGGTCTAACAGTTTTGTCACATTTCTATTGTTATTCATATGCATACCAGTTTTCAACGACATTGTTTACATCGAGCCGCAACTTGTCCATTGTTCTCATTTGCACAGAATGTGTATTTTGACTTAAACTTATACATATCCAAAGGACAATGTTGGACAAATTGCGGCTCATATCTAATTTTTTGAAAAAGTCTCCAAACTACGATCGAATTAGCCACTACATTAACACTTCACCGAGTGTCAACGATTGATATTATAATCAATTTACTCACGTGACATTCCACTGTTTGATACGATAAGGCTTTCATTGAACATTTCATTGTGTTTGTCATTGAAAGTTTCTATTGTGACAGTATCTATCGTACTTCCAACTTCAAACTATGGAAGATTTTTGCTCAAATTTTAATAGGGTTTGAAGATTATATGTCTCTAATTTTACTTTATATTTTTCATTAGGGGTGTTTTGAAAGAATTCTGGTATAGGCAGTGTGATTAGTAAGTACATGTACAGGCTCGTGTTGCCTCTGTATAATGATCTGCAGGGCGAGACATCTTCCCCATCTCTAAACACTAGAATCATTATTTGTGCACCATGAAACTACACAATCTCTCTCTTCTCCATCTAAATTCGCAGTGTCAAAAAAATCATATGTGCTAGTGTTTACATTCCACATCCATGCGATTTTTAAATGTCTCCGCCTATTTGCGGATACCTTAAATTCGAAAGTGGTCCCGTTCAAATTTCCGGAATTTAAGGCTTGTACATGTTCTTTTCAATGACATTGTCTGTAATTATAGAAATATATATGACAAAAAATTCAAGGAATAAATATCAAAAGAATATGCTTGCACAATAATCATAGATTTATTAAGCGATATATTGTAATGTAAAGCTTAAAATGGGTAGCCGAAAAGGTTCCAAATGACGTACTAAAGTGCACTCATTCTTTACAAAAGTATAAAAGTATTTCCCAAAATACTGGGAGTTCCTTGCAATATCATATCAAAGTTAAATATAGTTATGGGAGAGTTATTTCACCTACCTCCAACTAATTTTCTCCCACAGAACAATTTACTATAATTATTAAAAACAAGAGGCCCATGGGCCACATCGCTCACCTGAGCACATTGGCAAGGCAAAAGCACAAATCAGTTCAGTATTGAAAAGATTCCCGGGGGGGGGGGGGGGGGGGGGGGGGGGGGGGGCTTGAATTTTAAACTACCTGAT